TACAGTTTTCAGTCTTTCTGATGAAGGAGTAGCTCCCTCCCCAAACTGTGACAGCAATATTTTCTTCTCGACATTTGTCCAGCCTCGACTTGACTTTATTTTTGTAACTGGTAGCAAGCCAGGGTGAGAAATGATCTCTTCCCAACCAATTATCTGGGAAGAAAGCCCACTTTTTCATTAATTACATTATCTAACAGCCTCTTGCTACTCAAAATGGGGTCCTTGGATCAGCAGCGTTGGCACCATCTGAGAACTTGTTTGAAATGCAGAACATTGGGCCCCATTCCAGAATTCCTGAGTCAGAATCTGTATTTTAACAAGATGCCCAAGTAGTTTGTGTACACATTCAGTTTGAGAAGTGGCTTGTCTAACACTCACAACATCCTGTATAAGGATTATCATTCTTATTACTTACTGGAGAAAATAAGAACAGGAAAGTAAAATTACTTGACAAGGATCAATACCCAAAAAGTTCCAGAGTTGGGATTTTAAGGTAGCTCCTCTAATTCTAAATGCAAGCACCTTCTCCTTCCACCATGCTTTTCTCCATATAAATTTTTTCAAATGAATTCAGTAGTTCTGGTCCTAGCCATCCCAACTCTCAACCACATTGTTGACTGACTGCTAATACCCAAACTCCTATTATCAGGCATGCATGATTAAATTAAACATTTACCATCCCTTGAAATATTTGAAACACCAATGTCTGTGGGGAGAATGACTTAATAAATCCCTTAACTCTTAGTGGCTAGAAGTTTGATCAGGCTGCTGACTTTATCTATCGATCAGAAGAGCAAAGCACCTTGAAGCAAAGGAGGGAAGAAAAGGAGTGAAGAAGGAGAAGGAAGGGAAGATAAAGGGAAAGGGTTCCAGATTTATTGTCCAGTATAGATCAGCCCTTTCTAAAGACCTTGACTGTCCTTTGTCACGACTGGCTGGAGCTTGTTCCTTTGCTTCTGTCGTGGATACGCTGAATCTGGGCTGTCCTTTCCCTATGGTATTTCCAGAGAGATGAGCCCAGAAACCCCTGCAGATGCTTACCACTGCTACTCAGGCTCATAGAGAGGAAATTTGAAACAGCTGTGCTTACCAGCGCTTAAGGCAACATTATCATCATCATCGGAAAAAAAAAAAAATACTCCAAGGCTCTATGGTTACCAATAGTAGCTATTACATTTGAGGCTATACTAAATGCCAGATCCTGTACTAAATACTTAACAAATATTTCCCACAATAGTCTTGAAGGTATGTATTATTTAGTAATTGCGGCTCATGAGGAATGGAACCTGGCTTCTAACCTCAGGCCTATCTAAGCCAAGAGTGAGTGTTCTTTTTATCATAACACGTGGCTGTGGCATGCTTAAATTAACCTCCTACTCAACTTTCAATGTCTGGCTGAAATCACCCCTTCTAGTTAGTTCTCTCTCAGTGACCCCGGTGAGGTCTTCTTTCTGAAGCCCTGAGTTGGCACTTTTTATGTGCTAGCTTGAACACTTGCTTCCTTTTTTATTCACAGTCCTCCTGCTCCAAGCTGTAATTATGTTTGCTCCTGTGTCCCACCTCCCTCCAAAACCTTGAACCCTTAAAGTTTCTTTGGGTCACCAGCCCCAACATCATTGCAGGAATTCAATGGTAGCATCAGTTGGCCTATAAATTGAGTTAGGCACAAAGTCCATCCTCTGGAAGCTTCTGGAAGTAAAATGTTTGTTATCAGTTGAAGCACTCCATGTTGTTTACATGTAGCCTCCAATAGCTAAGACCTCCTTTCTAATGGCTCACTCTTAGAAATTCTGTACCCATTTATGAGTTGCTCTTGTATTGGTTTTATACTACTTTTCTTTCCTATCATTCTCTCCCAAGAGAAGAACATGGCTTGGGTTATCTTTACTAGCTACTTTTCCCTCTCTCACTTTGGATTCTAGGAGAATAAAGGAAGAAAATAAAACTTCTAGTGACTCTCTTCCTGTCTTGCATTCTTGCACTTGCGCATTCTCTCTTTAATATTTGAGACATTATGCTAAGCATCTCACATAAGTCATTTTAAGCCCCATACCAAAAACCTATGAAATATGCACTGTTTTATAATTCTGGTTTTGTTCAGGAGTATCCTCAAATACAGAGAGGTTAGGTAAGTTATCTATGATCACACAGTTAGGAAATGGGAGAACCAGAATGTGAATGTAGGCTATGTGCTTCTGTCAATCACTTATCAATTATTATCAGTGAGAAATACAAGTGAAATGTGGCAAATGCATAGGTGTAGAACAAGGTGCTCATGGGTATCCTGTGGAGTACCAAGGAAAGTGGAATCTCTAGGCTTTTCTTATAACCAGTCCTTGACTGGGCCTTCTCTTCTCACCTTCTGTTATAGGTGCTCAGAGAATATGGATGAATCATTATTAGTTCGAGCAGAGCTCTGAAAAGCATAAAGGTCTAGTGAGTGTTGGTGTTACTATTATTTTTTTATAAATCATTTATTAGGGAAAGAATGTAGCTTGCCACTAATATCTTCCAAAACTCAATATAAATGATTTTTTAATAATTCAAATGTTGGATTATTCATATCCACTTGACCTTCTCCAGTAGCTGAAATCTTCGAGAGTTGATGGTTTGCAGGTATTTGAAGAAGCCATTATGCAAATGAAAATATCATAGCCACTGAGATATTTGTTGTAGGCATTATGGCAGACACCAAAAGGTATAATGTATTCTCTCAAAGGGTTCACCATCTCTTTTAAGAAAATAAACCTGAGACATGTTTCTCATTAAATAACAATGAAATTTGTAAATGGCTCTTTGAGAGGCTGATGATAATCACATGCTAATGCATGAGTATACCAACAGCAATTCAAAGAAGAAATACATAATTTCAGGCTGACATGAGTGATCTAGAGAGGTTTGGTGGAATAGATGCATTTTAAGCTAAAGTTTGAAAGGTCAATAGAATTAAAGTAAGGAGCAATGAAAGAAAGAGGATAATGGGTTGGATAGAATAGCATGGAAGACTAAACAATCCATAATAGAGAATGTGCTTATGCATAAACAAACTGACATCATTTTTGCACTTAGTTTGGACTATAGGCTTCAGTGAATAGAGAATATCTGTGATTCAGTTTGAATTCTGTGATTCTCGGCCCAGGAATTTTTGCCTAGTTCATCTTGTAGTGAAGTTCAACACTACAGAGGAAACAACACATATTACTGCCTGCTTGGTGGGCTCTCTTGGGTCACTGTAAGACTAGGTTTCAAAACGCAGCAGATAGAGGATCAGCTTTGAGGAAACACTTCTTAGTATCACCCCAGTATCAGTCTTGCTCCACTCGGCCCCCTGAAAGACTTTACACTTATTGCTAAAAAGTGAGACATCTGGGCATAAATATGTTCCAGTAGGTCACACTTGATGGCTCCTTGGGGGTAGTGCGCCCCTAGAGGGACTAAGAGGAGCTACCACTACCAATTCCAGGGGTGCATAAAGAGATAAGAACCTTTTCAGAGAGGCAAACCACTCTGAAAACAGCATGGAGTTTCTTTAAAAAGTTAAAAGTAGAACTACCCTATAATCCAGCAATTACACTACTATATATTTACCCCCCCCCAAAAAAAGAAAAATACTAATCTGAAGGGATACATGCACCTTGATGTTTATAGCAGCATTGTCAACAATAGCCAAATCATGGAAAGAACCCAAATGTTCATTGACTGATGAGTGGATAGAGAACATGTGGTATATATACACGATGGAATATTACTCATCCATAAAAAGGAATGAAATCTTGGCACTTGCAGCAACATGGATGGAGCTAGAGAGTATTATGTTAAACAAAATAAGTCAGTCAGAGAAGACATATACCGTATGCTTTCACTCATATGTGGAATTTAAGAAACAAAACAAATGAACAAAGGAAAAAAGAAAGACAAACCAAGAAACAGACTCTTAACTCTAGAGAACAAATTGATGGTTACCAGAAGGGAGGAGATGGCTGAAATAGGTGATGGGGATGAAGGAGTGCACTGGTCAGATGAGCAACATGTGTTGTGTGGAAGTGTTGAATCAGTAAATTGTACACCTGAAACTATTACACTGTGTGTACACTAACTGGAACTTAAATAAAAATGTAAGAAAACCAAAGATATGGAGTACTTGCAAGAGGGTTTTATACATCTGTATCTATATAGATATGAAATCAATCATGTTAAACTATCACAAAATCTCTAAGAGGTAAAAATTATGAACTTTATTTTATAGACGACAAAAGACTCAGACAAGAAAGAAGACATTAGAGGTCTCAAAGAGGGCATCTACCTCTCTGGGTGTAGCCAGTGCACTCCAGATGTCTGAAGTTGGTAGATAAAACCCATGAGCCTATAATGTGGCAGCATTTCCAGTTGAAGAGAAACCTTAAGGTAACCCCACATGTAGAAGCTACTGAAGGAGCACCCAGAATAGAGAGTTCGATTAAGAGAACATCTTCAGTCTGCTCAATAAAGTGAACTGGAGCTTGTCCAAGGGAAAAAGAAATTGTCTGTCTTCTTGCTGAGATGTTGCTAGGAAGATTACCCAAGAGGAGACTACCTAGGAAGGACTGGCTGAGACTTCCAGCCAAAGAGAGAAAGAATGACTCTGAAAATAAATTGCCTTCCAATTCCCAGTGTGAAGTGCAGCTTTGTAAAAGAGGGTTCCATATATAATGATGCTTCCTAGACACATTATGTAACATTCAGCAGCCATACTGAAATGGCCCTTTTCCTGAATGCATGGTGCATGTGGCTAGCAACATGACTATGCCGGGGGAAAAGAGAAGGAAAGAAAGGTCATTTCCAGGTGTGTTTTGGTATAAGTCTTTTTTTTTTTCCAAGTACTAACTGATATTGTACATATCAAAGGTCTAGGAAGATCTGTATCCCTATTATCTGCTTTCAGTTTTTTTTATATGAGAGTAACTTTATTTATTATTTATTTATTATTAAAGCAAAGAACTGAACATAATTTTAAAAGGCATAAAAATATGGAATGCTTCCCAAACTTTCATGTTGTCCTTATGCAGGGACCATGTTAATCTTTGTATTGTCCCAGTTTTAGTAGATGTGCTGCTGAAGAAAGCAGTCCATTGATCTACTTCTACATATCCGCCCAATAAAACCTGAAATTCATCATGTATGCTAAGTTTTGCTCTCTGTAATTCTATTTACAAAATGGAAACATGATTGAAAAGCACATGCTGAAATTAATTTGCACTTCTGCCTAAATTGAGTACTTTTTCTGCTTAAAATTTTTTTCCTGATAAAAATAAAAGGATTTGAAGAAATCAATACTAGAGAAACTTTTTTTAAAGATTTTTTTTACTTATTTGACAGACAGAGATCACAAGTAGGCAGAGAGGCAGGCAGAGAGAGAGAGAGGAGAAAGCAGGCTCCCCGCTGAGCAGAGAGCCGGATGCGGGGCTCGATCCCAGGATCCTGAGATCATGACCTAAGCTGAAGGCAGAGGCTTAACCCACTGAGCCACCCAGGCACACCCATACTAGAGAAACTTTTAATAAAACAATTTCTAGTGGATGATGTAATCTGAAGTTTGAGCTTGTTGCTCAATGTGAAGATGAGAAACACTGTTTACACACCGACCTCAAGAAGCAGCTGGATTTCTACTAGAGTGTACACACTGTCTTAGGCTCTCAGTGTTTAGAAGAAATGGCCATTTTCCCCTTCTTAATGGAAAAAAAAACCTCTCTGAAAAATACATACTTTTGACATAAAAGGGGCACCTATTTGACCATAATCTTTGGTGCATACCTGCTGTCCTAGAAAATAAGAAAGAAAAAATAATAATAAAATTCAGATAGAAAATTCAATCCAATATCAACACACTGACAAATGAACAAATTCACCTCAGAAGGCTTTAAAAATAAAACAACAGAAAAGAAAACACTTTGTCTTGAAATAATTTCTGATTTATGGAGGAGTCGCAAAGATAGTACAGAGAGTTTCCGCATACACTGCGCTCACCTTCCCCTTATGCCACCACATAAGAAGACTTTTCATACCAAGTTGGCCCGAAGCCTGAGGAGTTGATTATGAAGTAAAAGTCTCAGTAAAAATGAAACAGTAAGATTAATGACACTCTTTGAAGTGAACACTATAGATATTCTAAAAACTCAACTTTCATTAACACAGTTTTATCTTGCATCTTTATATGGCCAATAGCATGTTACATGTTTTGTGGAAGAAAGGGGAATCTCTTCATTTTTGATAAATCCCACTCCAGCATGAACTGTAGATTATCATCAAGTCATGAGCACCATATTGTAGATTCACGTACAATAAATACAATCAATGTAGTAGGTGTGTTTCTTCACTGGGATGGTGACAAATCTCTTAAAAATGTTAGCCTGCAAATAAAAAAATATCTTGAAATTTATGGCCAACATCATAAAGTCATTCACCAAAGCACTTGTTTTCAATTATTTTATTAGATCACACTCACCAGTGTTAGAAAATGTAAGGGAGACAATGGGGGGATGGTCTTGAGAAGAGAGCTATGAAAGGGACAAAGAATGGAAGGTCAGATGTCAAGGACAAGAACTTTGAGAGTGCTTTCTTGGCCCTGGAATCTTCAATTTCCAACACCCCCCCCCATCTTTTAATAGGAAACTACCTTACCTATGCTGTCATGACTTGGAATTTGTATATTCGATTTCCAAAGGAGATAATGGCTCTCTATCTAGATATCATCAGTCTTATCCTTCTTTTAATTGAGTTCCCTGATGCATTTGACAGACTGTGCACAGACATCAGGGATACTCACTATCTTGTGTTTACCAGTGATGCTCATGTCAATACATAATTGCAGGGAAGCCTTGGTTCCATACACTTACTAATTTTCCTAAAGCAGGTCCTTGAATTACATTGCTTATAATGCACATTTTTGCAGGGTCTTGTTGTAGTTTGGGTCTATTAATAAATAGATGGCCAGGTAGAAATTTCTGGAGTGTCAGAAAGACAGCTCCAGAGTGGAGTATGCATTACATTTATAGAAGTCCAATATCTGCCCAAGCCTACCACAGGTTGGTGATAACCAGTCCATCAGCCAGGCAATACCTCATTCAGCAGCATCACAGGGAACATGGTCTTCTCTAGCACATCACTTAGTCTCTACATGGGTCACCTTCTTATAAAAAATGGACAGCTTCTAGCTGAGCCTCAGACACAAAACTAGGGGGCACACTCACCTCCTTCTCCAACAATGACTGTCCAATCTGTGCGAGTCAAATTCCTTACTCCGCAAATGAATGAATGGTCTTTCCAAACACTGTGAAGATGGGTTAAAAATTTACATCTACACCTTGGGGGTTTCCTTTTTTGAGTAGTAATGGATAAAATCAACTGACATTCTATTGGCTGTTTTCATTAAAATTCAAAACCGTACTACTCTCTCATCCACACCCCACCTCTCATCAGGGATTTTCCCTTCGATATTTAGCTTTTTACTAATGAAATGAATAACTAGTATGGCATTCTCGAGGGCTATTTATCAAGTTCAAGCACACAAATAAAAACTCACAATCCCCAGTTTTGTCTGTGGTACATCGTAAAGTGGAGATCTCAGTGGAAGGCTTCAGCCAGCACCGTGGCTAGTTGCTCCCTTTCTTGGGACAAAGATCTACACAGCATGCCTTTCTTTTTTTTTTTTTTTAAGATTTTATTTATTTATTTGAAAGAGAGACAGTGAGAGAGAGCATGAGCGAGGAGAAGGTCAGAGAGAGAAGCAGACTCCCTGTGGAGCTGGGAGCCCGATGCGGGACTTGATCCCGGGACTCCGGGATCATGACCTGAGCCGAAGGCAGTCGTCCAACCAACTGAGCCACCCAGGCGTCCCCAGCATGCCTTTCTTGAAAAAGATCCTGTCTGGGTGGACTTCATCACTAAGCTTTACTCATTATATCAACCTAAAAGGTAACAATTGATGAACAAGATATGAGTTTAATACCAAACCCACTAGCCTAGGGAACATTTCTGCTAAAAATTAGAACCATCTCCTTCAGGAGTAAAAAGAAACTACAACTTCACTCTAAATGAACCTTACCTAGTTATTTGCATAAGCTTAGTGGTTTGAATCCAGGAGTTTACATGTGAGCAAGAAGATGCATAACATCAGTGGTGCAAATGACTAAGGAATTCTACAGTATGGCATCTCAGTGATCCTGAGCAAAAAGAATTATTTTAGTTCCCTAAACACTATTTCTCTCTGAAAATAAAAGCCAATACAAAGACTTTCATTCCCAGCTATAGAAACTGCTCCTATAGATCCATGATATGGTGAGGCCAATACAAAACAGTGGGCTTTGCTTTTTAGCCATTTCTTCTCTTTCATATAGACAGCAGGGACCTGGAATGAAAAATGCTGTTCAAAGAGTGGAATTCCCTCTGTAGCCCTCTTTATTAGCCCACTTAGGAATAATCGATGCCCCTGCATGAGTAAGAGGGGCATGTTATTGATGGTTGAGCTTCTAAAAGTAAGTAGAGAATGTAACATTGCTTGATTGGTTAAAGTGTACTGTTAAGGGAATAAAAGGATGGACAGAAAAATTGACAGATTTATTAACAATAAAAGCAGTGACTATAATAATAATATATGTTATGATCATAAACATTTGGTCCTATATTAAAACAAACACTCCACTCTCCTGAGCTTTTGCAGTTTATTTCTGGATAATGTATTATTTTGTCCTCTTCCCTGAAGCTAGTTGTCACTTATTATAGCCATTAAAATGCCTACTCACTGTATTTTTCAAAGTATAGTATACATGCCTTTCATGCATGAATTTTTTTTACCATAGTTATTAATGAGTGTGCAGGTGAGTATGTGTGTCTATGTGTGTGTGAGGGGTGTGTGTGTACCCATTTGTGTCTGAATATTTGCATCTTTCCATTCCTGAAATTCAGCTTTTTTTCTATTAGTGGAGGTTAGCAAGTAATTGAATTTTGGGGAAATACAACTCCACTGTCATCTTTTTTTTTTTTCTTCAAATTTTTATGTGAATTCTAGTTAGTGAATATACAGTGCAATATTGGTTTCAGGAGTAGAATTCAGTGATTCATCACTTACACAAAATACCCAGTGCTCATCACAGCAAGTGCCCTCCTTAATGCCCATCACCCGTTCAGCCCATCCTCTACCGACCTCCCCTCCAGCAACCCTCAGGTTGTTCTCTATTGTTAAAAGTGTCTTATGGTTTGTTTCCCTCTTTCTCGCTCTCTCTTTTCCCCCTTCACCTATGTTCATCTGTTATGTTTCTTAGATTCCACATATGAGTGAAATCATATGGTATGTGTCTTTCTCTTATAGACTTATTTTGCTTAGCATGATGCATTCTAGCTCTGTCCATGTCATTGCAAATAGCAAGATTTTATTCCTTTTATGGCTGAGTGATATTCCAGTATGTGTGTGTGTGTGTGTGTACCACATCTTCTTTATCTATTCATCAGTCAATGGACATTTGGCCTCTTTCCATGTTTTGGTTATTGTTGATAATGCTATAAACATTGGGGTGCATGTACCTCTTTTGTATCTGTATTTTTGTATCCTTTGGGTAAATACCTAGTAGTGCAATTACTGGGTCATAGGGGACTTCTATTTTTAACTTTTTGAGGAAGCTCCATACTGTTTTCCAGAGTAGCTGCACCAGTGCCAGACAATCACAGTGCAAGAGGGTTCCCCTTTCTCTGCATCTGTGCCAACAAATGTTGTTTCTTGGGTTGTTGATTTTGGCAATTTTGACAGGTGTGAGATTATATCCCATCATGGTTTTGATTTGTATTTCCCTGATGATGAGTGATGTTGACTGTCTTTTCATGTGTCTGTTAGCCATATGGTTGTCTTTTTGGAAAATGTGTATTCATGCCTTCCCATTTCTTAACTGGATTATTCGTTTTATGGGTGTTGAGATTGTTAAGTTCTATATGGATTTTGGATACCAACCCTTTGTCAGATATGCCATTTGCAAATATCTTCTCCCATTCCATAGTTTTGTTGATTTGTGATATTGTGCAGAAGATTTTTATCTTGATGAAGTCTCGGTAGTTCATTTTTGCTTTTGTTTCCCTTAC